ATAATTTTAGCTGTATTTTTGAAGTTCAAAATATTCTAAGTCAAAGCGAAGTCACTTTTTTATTCTGACTAATCACAAAAAGATGAAATCTAGTCATACAGAGTACTAGAATTTTGGGTGTACAGCACGGTAATTGTTACTTAATAAAGCCGATAGCAATATCTTTAACAACTTATTCGACAAATGCGAAGGTTCCAATAGTGATCAATCTATCCATAAAGCTATTTAGGTTTGAGAAAAATTTTATGATATTCGATGAAAGCAGAACTCAGCTAAAGAACTAAAATATCCGCTAACCCAAGAAAAGTCATCGTTCGTCTCTATTACTTCGAGCAGATTTTAAGTATATTACATTTTTTTCGATCAAGATCTCTATTTTGTTGTATATCATAACTAATTTTAGCTTTTGCAAATAATTTTGAGATCATGTATTCTCCTTCGAACGCTTGGCATCTTATTAAAACAGAAAGCTCGCAAGTTCCTCGAATAAAAGGATAACGGGAACGATGACAATCCAGCATCGCTCGACAGACGCGAGTTCATCAGAAGCAGATATGGAACCGGTCTACCGGGCAAAACTAGCCTACCGGTACTAAACAGGATGCTGATGATACGTCAGTTTATAAAGGAAAAACTGATCTACCGACAAAATATCGATCTATAGACAACAGGCTAAGGCTTGAAATGAAGCCTTGTTTCATAGTGAACTCTCTTGAGGGCTACCTTCGTACTTTCACGCATACTGATATAATGTTTTCCCGTTGATAACAATAGTCTCACTGATGGGTATTTTGAAAATTTTTTTTAAAATAAATTCCTATGGGATTAGTGGAACTAGTCTTGGTGCCAGTTGTTTTTTCATATGATTATCATCATAGAACGGGAAAGTGAGAAATATAGACCGGTTTAGAGCGGCACCGGTTCCATCTCTGTCAGAAAGTGCCATCGGTGCAAATTTAAACTTAATCCATGGTGTGCACTCAGCATTTGTCATAAAAAGCTATTCTAGAAAGAATACATAGAGATCAATAGTGGCGCATAATTGGTGGCAATACCGAAACCTTTCTTTCTATCACTCAAAAATGACTGTTTCTGCATTTTTTATCTTCTTTCGACTAAGCCAACAAAATTAAGAATGTGTGTGTTCGACATATCATAGTTTTCGAGATCCAATTCAACATGAGCGATCAGAATTACCCCATTTCTTTATTGTCGCAAAATGAATCTTCAAAGGTCGAAAAAAAAGACTGTCACATTCTAAGGCTGCTTCTGCCAGGCCGGCTTCTCTACAGCCTTTCTGCAGTGATTGTGACATCCACAGTCGGGTGGACAGCATTTTTCATCAGAGGCGCATTGACTGTCTCTTATGCAGCAGTTCTGGCCGTTCGAACACCTCTCGAAGTCCATCCAGTTAAATGTACAGGCAATGCCGCATGCCACAAAATGAAACGGACAAGAGCCTAGAAGGAACGAGTTTTATTGCGTTTTGGATTATGAAAGATCTCACCGGCATGTTTGTTTTCCGACTGTCTCTTTCTGAGTGCCTCAGCACCAAAACAACAGAGCACCAGGATCAAGAGCAAGACGAGAGAACGCATTTTTAAAATGGTACGATCGTATGTGGAATATGATAATAAGAACGAGGGCGACTCGTTTAATAAGCAAATAGATATAATGCATCTGTCCTTTTTCTCATTCCTTTCCAGCTTTATATCAAACCTATTTCAGCCAATACATGCGATCTATTTTGCTTATCGTTGTTCGCAAGTGCAGAACAAGAAAGAAATTTGATAAATCATCTTTCTTCCAAGTTCGTCCGTAAAAGGGAATCAGAACTTATTACACACCCTTTATATTAGAAGAGCACATTTTTTTCGAAACATCAGTTTATTAAATGTATCACTGTCATAGATATCTGTGCTTTTATAACAGTATTACTACTAGTAAAGAATAAAAGTTGCTTAGATACATGTGTAGCAAGATTAACTAACATATTTCATGCGATTAAACAAAAATGATAGAACAGATATATTATCCTATATGATTGAAGAGCAGAGAGCATTTTCTTAGCTCATAGAACTAAAATAACTTTGTATATGGAAAGAACCAATCGTAAACATTAGTTAATCTATGACGATATTCGATAGCAACAAGCTTCTCATTGTATTAATTATATTATGTGACGCATGGTAATGATTACAAAAGCTTCTCTCTTCTTTTTCTTTTTCTTACATTTACGCTTCGTTAATTCTTGTTTTCTATCATATCAAGCGATCCTCTGTACATCATAAATCACTCCATTATATATTACAAACCATGTGGATAAACGAGCGCATCAAAGGAAGCTATTTCGTATCTTAATCAATAATATAAAACATACATATCAAATGTGAAGCTAATAATATCAGCGCAGATACTAGATCTATAACAGTAGGCTGCAGAAAAAAAGACAGATGAAAATCACATCGACGGTGTGTTCAGTTGTTCAATATTACTTAAAACATACAAAGACTAAAATGGCTGATGACTGCATCGATGAAATGCGTGAACGTCCAAAAAGTGATCTAGTTCGTTTGACGTAAAGCTTTGCCTATTTTCAGAACAAAAGATGCAGGTTTCAAACACTCGTTTTTAACGCTAAATATAGGGCTTTCTTCGCTGATGTATTTGGTTTTGAATAAAGCATATAAGGAAGCTGAGAACGTCGAAGGTATAGACCAGTCATTATTTCTGCACCACCCGATATTTATTTTTGAATCAATATTAGTATTCTACGTGTTAATGAATTACATTTTCTTTCAACAATCGAATCAAATTTTGTGGTAAATGACGATTTTATTTGGCTATGCTTGTTTTGAAAAGCTGGTTTTCCACCAAGTGATTCAAGTAACGTTGAACAAGTTCTCGATCGATTGGCGGACAACAATCATGCTAGCAAATGTGGTGCATTGATAGAATTTCTGTTCTTCTATTTTTCGTTTCCTCTTCTTTTCAAAGAATGTAAAAAGAATTATTAGTCATGGCAATATTTCTTGGGTTTTACCCATTTCCAGCTTGTGTCAACAACAACTTGCTTGAATTGCCACCGATTAATGCGTATCAGAGATCGAAACAAGCTGTTCTATACGGCCGCGTGCAGCGGCAGATTTTTTCGATAGGACCGCGCATCGCGCAGTGTAGTGTATAAAATTTTATAACACTACTTCTCGTGTATGAGACATTTAGAAAATTACGAAGGTATCTTATTCTTCTATTTGAATTATAGATACAGATAAGATATCATGCTTTATTTCTATTAGCTAATAACTGTTTTGCTATTTCAAACAGACTAAAAGAAAAGAAAAGAAAAGAGAAGAATAAATAAATATGCATCAACTTGATACATATAAGAAATTAAAAGGTAGATTTTGGTCATCAACATTGTTTACTACATTTAAAATTCGACACTTCTATCTCATCACGTGACAATATTCTGGAAACATTAGGTCGTTTCTTAACCAAACATCTTATAATCGAATCAAAAATCTAATAATTATTAAGATTCAAAATTTAACTGAACTATTCTTAAAGCCTACTATTTTCTATTACAATAACAAATTCTATAGAAATCGAAAAGGTAGTCCAAGTGATTTATTAGTCACGGAAACATTAGGAAATATTTTTCTATTGGAATGGCAATCCTATCTATTGAATAATCTGTCAATGAAAAATGAATTTTATAGAAGGTAAGTTTTTTTCTAAATAGATTAAATAAACAAATTACGCAGGCTTGGAGAAGACCCGCATGCATTTCGATGAAGTGTCACGTAATCGACAACTAATAACTAGCGTCATCATGTGACGACACCATCATAAAGAAAATGTGCAACTGGTGTGCAATGGCGATATCCATTTATGTATTCACTCTAAAAAATGCCATGCGTCTTACAAGGCGGTGCATTCGTCTAAAGTCTAGTTGAGACATAATTTAGACATCAGAAGTGTCTTATATTCTAGACACAACTATCTTACAGACAGTCATGCTTCTTCATTTTCATTTTAGTCAATATTCACAAAGGTGCTTTTGTTAAGATAAATGAATGCTTTGCTGTTGATGTTTTAATAAAGTTATCAAAATTACTATTGATCTTGAAGATTATTGTGTACCTAAGATGAATTTATAGTACTATAGTAAACAAAGTAAATAGTAAGTATGCATTCTCGATTGAAAAAACAGATTAGCTCCCTCTTTTGACATATAATTTGTCCAGCTTACCATTGGTAAGCCACGATAACCAACAGTTCTAAGTTTCTTTTTAACGTATTATTTCATTTAGATAATTCATTGTTGTTTTCGTTCAACATCGTTTTATTCCCTGCGAATCAGATAAATTTATATATCATTCGCTATATTGTATTCATTTTTTTTCTAAACTAGTCACATTTTGTATTTGATTTGAACTGGTTGTCTTTTTTGGCTTGAACTCCTCCATATTTAATGATTATTATTATTTGTTTACTTTTCTTCATTTTAAGAAACAAAGTAACTTGTTATTTTTGGTAAGTGAAAATAAAAAATTATTAAACGTCTTATTTTTATCTATATATTGTTTCATTTAGATATTTTCATCGTTGTTTTTTGTTCAGCATTATATATTTTACTTTGTCAATCAGATAAATTTATATATTATTCGTTTGTGCTGCATTTATTGATTTAAAGTAAGTATGTTTTATATTTGAATTGAGATGTTTCTCATTTCATTGTAACTCCTTTTTAAATGATATTCAATTTTATCTATTAGTCTTCATTTGAAAGAGGAGTTTTTTTTTATTAGTGAGAAAAAAGATAGAGAAAAGAGAAACAGTAATTATAGAATAGTAAAGGATTTACGATAAGGATGAAAAGGAACATATAAGAACCCATTGAATGATACTACCTTTAATGTTTTTTTATAACACATATCTTCCAAAATAAAGCAATCAAACTTATTTGTTTCTCCCACTTGAAATGATCTTAGCTGTTATCCGTAGTCTTTGACTTTAAATATTTTATAGACAAAAGCGCATTTGTTCCCATCGTAGAGAATCCAACGTATTTTGCCAAACATTGGTACTGATGGAAAATATTCTCTTGAAACATTCAATATTGCATCATGCGAGTATTGTTGTCCACCAATAATCAATGTTTTTAATGTTGAGAGAGGTTTGAAAGGTAAATTCTTCAAGTTGGGGATAAGATATTGAATTTGTCCATCATTAATAGGCTGTCGATCATCAAGTTGACTATGTGGCACACCAGAGAGTGCCGTATATGACAAAGAACCATTTTGACAATGATCATTAACACATACCCATAGTTCATGTCGTCTTGTCAGCATTACTGATGGATGTTTCAAATTTCGAACTTTATTTCCTTTGAAGAATTAATGTTTTCTCTCCGTTGCTAAGCATAACGTATAAGCCAAAGGTCCTAAGTCTTTCATAAAAGTAGGAAAATTAGACATAAAATGAAATTTGAATTTCATTTTTCCTGGATATAATTTTCTAAATTCACCATTGTGCATCTTTATGAAAGAAGACATTGCTCAGGAGTATTGGCATTAATGGTTGTTACAAAGCATAATGAGAGAATATCCACACATATCAAGATTGCACGATACTGTGGGAAATCTGATGAGCGGAGCAAGTTTTTGAGAATAAAAGATAAATTTATAAATAGGTAGAAAGTTTGCATTGATATTAAAGGCATTCCCAAATTGTTTTGCTTTTTTAATTCATCAAGTGATAGGTCAAGATATGGCTTTGAATTTAATTCATCTCCATTATATGGAAATATATTAACTTCAAAGCAAAATTGTTCCAATTTGAAATAATCTTTTCTTGTGCAAAACTCCAAAAACGCATTGAGATGGTTAGGAAACACTCCCTACAATTCACGTATAAAAATTGAGTTTTAGATACATTAAATGAGAATAATTTTTCTGGAAATCATTCAAGTTATGTTACATAAATTCAACGATAATAAAGGTCTAAAAATACTCCCTTCAATAGTCTGTTGTTTCATAAGCAAGAGTGCTACTCCATTGGAAAGATATATCGACCATTTTGATTTCTTTGTTTTTCGCCATTATCTGTAAGTAAAACAAAAAAATATACGAGTTATTATTTGATTTAATTTTCTTGAATCATAGAGAAAAAATTTAGATTTTTTTAAAGGAAACTTCTTATCAATATAGATTTAAGGCATACCTGATAAGATCGATCGATAGATTCAATGTATTCGAAATACTCCGTGGCCTTTTTTTGCGAATATGTTTTGATTTAAGGCGATCTATACAAGTAGCTAGAGTAGCAGCGTTCTAAAATTGTGAAAAAATCAGATATATGCGATTAATTAATTCAAAATTTCAAACCAAATTTTTCAATGAAACAGCCTGAAAAAGTTTCGTAAGACTAGTTGCAACATATTTGATAGCTGCCTCAGATGTATGGAAAGCCGTTTGAAGGGTCAGTAAGAAATATAACACACGTTTTTCGAATGCTTTGAATTGTTCATCTTCATTCAAGCTCTCCATGCTTTCGCTACTATTAAACGATTCGTTTTCAAGATTTTCGTCATCTTGATCGTTTTGTTCTACCCGATATTTCATATTTGAACATTCCTCGGGATAAGTTGGACTTGATAACTTTTCATTAGTCTTTTCGGTTTCATGATATTGATTGTCTTGAGGAATAGTTTCCTTTTTTCTGGTTTGAAATAGACTCCAACTAGAAGTGATTAATGATATATTTTTAGAAATCAATTCGATAAAGAACAAAAAAATCTCACTGAGATTGGAGACTTCGAAGAGTACTAAATGAGCCACCACATGAACAAATAAGACGTAAACTTTTACTGTGACTATGCAGGTCTTGATGATGTCTTACATATCCCGAGATTGTGTTGAAACTGATTTGACAAATAGGACAATGCATTGATAATCTAAATATAAAATTCCTGTTTTATTTTTAGATGAAAATTGTATTCGAACATCAAGGTCGTAAGACTACAATAATTGGTAATGATTATGTTTCAATAGTTGAAAAAATTAGATCATTATTTTCAAATCAAAATCATTGTCGAATACAATTTTATGATCCTGAACTCAGTGATTATTTTGATTTCACGTTATATGAACAAGTGATTGGTCAACTAAATGGGTTGAAAATGAACTTCGATATGTCAACCCTCTCAGATTCATTCGTACTTGATCCATCTTCATCATCAACAGCCAATGACAATTATAATAATATGCTAAATAAAAATTTAGCTAAAAGCTCATCAAAAAGATCTCGAGAAAAAATCCATTACTTTCAAGTGATGTACTGCATTTTACCAATTATATAGATTACTTTGTTTTTATTTCTATTTTAGCGTGAAAATATTGAACCACCATCATTATCACAATAGTGTGACTTAATAATTCAAGGTTTACAATCACGAGATAAACTGATTCTTAATTAATATTTATGCTTTATCTTTTTATAATAGAGTCATTTCCAGCGATACAGCAACAGTTTTTAAGACAAACATGCACTTTTATTCTTCAATAATATCCTGATTCTTCTTCAAGAAAAGTTCATCATTCCTTTGTTATGTCTCTCACATAAAAATTTCCAGCATTAAACTTTTTGGACAAGAGTGTCGATGGAGTTGATGAAAGAGCATCATATGTAAGTTTATTGAAGCATTTTGTGGAAATAAAAAAAAAAAAAATAATAATCATATAACAACTTTTCTTTACTATTTACAGTATACAATATCTCGTCTACTTTCTCGAAAAAAATGAAATCTCAAATATTCAAAAACTCATCCAACACCAAAAGGTGCACGAACATCAACACTTGATTCAAGTTCGGATAACAAAGGAAACACGAACGTTGTCAATGGAGAGATAGCAATAAAACATGCACATAATTTAGATATTGATTTGGACAAAAATAGAAAGCTGTATGCAATAGTCTTAAAAAATATAATTATTCTTTTCACTTAGATTTTTCTGATGAATGTTCAATTGAAGAATTAATAGATGAATCTTTTAAAAATCAAACATTAAATTCACTCCGTGATCCATTTGGTAAGTATTTTAAATTGAATAAAAGCATCTTTTATTAGTGTCAATTTTGGAGTCACTTACTTTGATTTAGAAGAACAAACTGTAACAACTCCATCGCCCAACACACCCATCAGACCAAAAATAATCTCAAAAAATGATCGTCAAGCATCAATATCATTTGTAACCCCATCAACTTCAAGAACTCAATCAATTTCATCAGTTTCATCAACTCAATCAGCTGTTTCAATCATTAATCCTTCATCTATTTCGACTACATCAGTGATTGTAAAACCAATCCTAATAACAAATGTACCATCTAACCGTATTTACCACAATGGTCGCATGCACATAACTTCACGTAAGTTGTTCAACTTTAAAGAAAAATGTGTGGATAGTATCTTTGTCTACGAATAAAAGAAGATTAGTCATCGACTGCTCCAGCGAGGTATTATGTACTTTGCTTTTCTGTTCTGGACAAATCATTCATGTTTAGTCCGTACAGATCATGACATGCATCACTAGTCATAGAATTGCATTCAAGAGAACACAATAGTACAACTTTTCGTTCTCTACTCCGAAGGAAAGAAAGAAGGTTTGTAGAATTATTTAAACCACTAAAATAAAGTGACCTTCTGTTTTGCAATACTGCTCCAGTTTGTTTAATTTTCAGTATTCTTTTGCTGAGACCAGTTCATACTTTTTCACTTGTGTTTAACTTAATATTTGAAGCATCACTGTTGTATTACAGAAAAATTTATATTGCATTCATTATTTATCGTTATATTTTAGTACCATCACAATCAATAGCTGCTGTTCATAAAGTCATTGTACCACGTGGTTGTGAGAAGAAAAAAGGTAATATTATCTAAGTTTTGAAATTTTTCGATCGTTCGTTTTCAGAAAAAAAAGAAAATAATAATTATCAAGATAACAGAGCGACCAACACAAAAGAACCAGAAAATATTTTAAAATGTAAGTTTTATTATTGTTTTACATGATGTTTTTTTTCTTTTGTAGAATCTATTGTTCATAATGTTGAAGAATCATATAATACGAAACAAAGTGCTTATAATTCAGATGTCACTTGCCTTCGTTCAATTATAAAACCTAAAAACAAAGCTTCAAACAATATTTCAATCGACGAAGTACATGCACTGATACAAAATACTCATACAATTAGGCGTCGACTACTGGAAAAAGAAAAAAAATGATTTCTACATGAAGGTTTTTCAATATCAAGAAATGTTTCACGAAGAGGCAGTAAGAAGTCTTTTTTATTATAACTAATTTCCTTTTTTCTCATTTATGCTGTTCAATACTTTTTAATATTCGAAATGATTAACAAATTTTTTTTTATCAAAAACACTTGCTTTTGGTTTTTTTCTAGTTCATCATGCAATTTATGCTATTACGGAATCAAATACTCGGGATGAATTACAATATAAATCACGTGATTTACTTGATGGTCTTATGAAAAAATATATAGGATTGACACATAAGAAAAGGTAATTATTTTGTGTAAATTAATTACATTCTGTTTTTTGTGTTTCTATGTAGACTACTGAGGCCGATTTTTCATGTGTTAAAATTTTCTGTATAGCAGCACATGAATACAATTAGTAAAACCGTTTTTTAATCTCCATGTCTTATGTTTTTCTATTTACTTAGAATGACTTACCTAATCCACGTCCAATGATTGGGGTTATCATTAGCTTGTCATCGATAAATCAATATGAAAAAGCATTTATATTCATCAGAAACTTACCTTATAAAATGCTTGTTACAATTACTGCTGGTGGTTTACATAAAATACTTCCACCACTTCTTATCATATACATTAACTTGAATGATACACCTGTTTATAAGTTACTTAAAATGCTGTTTGAACAATGTGGCGAAAAAAAGCACTAGCAGAAGGTAATAACATCTATTATTTGATAAGTATATTTTTTTGTATCTTTTACTGATGCTTTAGTTTTCTGGGATTGCTGAATTTCGGATTTTGTATTTTCTCATACATCTGTATTTGTTTTTTCTTTAAAGTTAGTTTTGAACATACTAACTTATAAAATATGACATATTTATTTATGATTTTGTCTTATGCGTATTTAAAAAATTTAATTTCTTCTTTGTAGATAATATTAATAACATCGACATTTGAACGACCAACAATTTAGAGTTGAACTCTAATTTTTTTTCAAACAACATTTCCAAAGTAGAATAACCGTCCACAAACTATATTGATTATTCGTCGCGTACAAAGTTTTTTTAAGCAGGAGTATTTTTGTAAGATAGATTCTCAGTGCTCATGTAGGTTTTGTAACAGTTTTTTTAGTCACTTCAGTTGATCTGAGGTTCATACATTCTAGAAATAAGTGGGTTAAAGACTAAAGGGAATTTTTCACTGGGGAAATTTTTAGAACAAAAGTCTTAATTTAATTTTTAACCGCATGTTACATTTTCATGTTTAAATAAATCGAAAAAAATTATGCTGTACATTTACACGATAATTTCCTTTTTTTCGAGTTATTTAAACATGAAAATGTAACATGCGGTTCAAAAATTAAATTAAGACTTTTGTCCTAAAAATTTCCCCAGCGAAAAATTCCCTTTAGTCTTTAACCTAGTTATTTCTAGAATGTATAGGTCTCAGATCAACTAAAGTGTCTAAGAAAGATGAATGTAAGGCACTTTTCTCATTGGTGCAGACCATCCAAACAAAAGAGAGTAAGACGCTCAAGTGTCTAAAATTGGTTATCCGTTGATGCTTGAAGTGTCTAAATTGGATACGTATTAACAAATCAGAATCAGCTCAAAATGTCTTGCATAAACAAATGGATTGTCTTATATATATACTTCTTACGTCTTGATTTTTTAGAGTAACTTATCTCGACCGTTTCGTTGCGTCTTTTTTCTTAAATATTCACCATTTCAAAGGGAATCCGATATGCAGTACTGTCGTTCGATTATTGCCAGAGTTCCATTTAGAAATTGGGCTCGTAAAATGTCATCAGATACTGGTATATTACGTACGCCCGATTCTGTATTTATCAATCTATTAGATTATCCTTTTAAACCGAATTATATTGATTTATCAAATCCGGGCTGTATTGGCAATGGAAAAACAAAATTACGTCTACATTACTTAGACGAAGGAAACAAGAATAGTAAAGAAACAGTTTTATTATTACATGGCGAACCAACTTGGAGTTATTTGTATCGTCATTTTATACCATCGTTAAAACAATACCGAGTAATTGCTTTTGACTTTATAGGATTTGGTAAATCGGATAAACCAATAAATAAAACCGATTATACATACCAAAGACATGTTAACTGGACCAAAGAAGCTATTGAATATTTAAATTTAAATAACATTACATTATTTTGCCAGGTAAGCCTGAAGTAAGAATACACACACAACCCTATACTGGCTCAGTGTAAGATCGACGCAGTCTTATGCATTAAAATATGTACATGTTTTGAAGGTCGATGACGCTAGATGTTATTGTGCAGTTGGATAGTTGCAATCAATGGAATTTCTGCAAACTGTTTTTCTAATGGAATATGTCAAACTCAATTTTTTACACTTTCCGATTAACAGGGACGAAAAATTGTCTGAGAAAAGTACTTTATACCTTTAAGTTATCTTGAAACTCAATTCGAAATGGCTTAGCAGAAATTTCATCAGTACATGCACTACTCAAGACAATACTGTTACAATTGGAGAAATCGAAGACTGAAACTACTATTCCATTTAAATGATTATTTTTGTCCATTTGATTAAAAATATTTCGTTACTTCGATTTAATTTCAGAAATCAAATTAATTTCATTGTATCGATGAGTATTCAAAGTTTTTGGTCATTTTAATAAAATGAATTTGATTAATTATGCTTGATTTTTTCAGTTGAAATTACATGAAGTATTTTTCAAAAAAATCGATGGACGTGTCCGTTTTATAAGTAGAAATTTCGTTTTCTTTTTTCATTTTTGAATTTTCTGATCAGTATCAGTAATTATGACATTCCTGTGTATCAGAATTGGGATATCAGCATGTGAACTAGAGTGTAGTTGCTCAATATTGCGCTTGTTCCATAAGAAGAAGATTATATGATCTTTGAAATAGATAAATTAAGCGATCATTTTTTTTCTACGTCTGGTATAGGACTGGGGTACTTTGATTGGTTTACAATTGGTTGGTACAAATGGAATAGGAAATCGTTTTGCACGGGTTATTGCTGCAAATGGTTGGTTACCTACAGGCGATGGGCCCATTACCGATGGTTTTTTGCGATGGCAAAAGTTTGCATTGAAACAAACGAAAATGGATGTTGGTTGGATAATAAAACGTTCAGTTATACGAGAAATGAAACCAAAAGAAATTGCTGCCTATAATGCCCCATTTCCAAATGAGAAATATCAAGCTGGTGCATTAATATTTCCCCAATTGGTACCAACAACACCCGATAATCCTTCATCACCATATAATCGTGATGCATGGAAAAATTTGCAACTATTTCATCGACCATTTTTAACTTTATTCTCTGATTCGGATCCGGTAACAGCTGGTGCGGAAAAACTTTTACAAATGTCGATACCAGGTGCTAATGGTCAAGCGCATGCTATGATCACTCAAGCTGGTCATTTTCTACAGGAAGAGAAGCCACATGAAATTGTTGAACATCTTATTAAATTTATTAACGATAATCCATTGCCTCTCGATTCGAAACCATGGATGAAGTCTGAAGGAACGAATACATAATGCAAATCGATCGTCAGTTTTGCACATGCTAAATATTTTCCATTTTGATTATTGTGATGAATCTGTATGGTTTTTTTGTAATACAACCGTTAGGAACTAGAGTATCTGAATTTTTACGTGTTTTTGCGATGGCTTGATGAATCGAATTGTAAGAATACAGTCATACATTGTATTCACTTTCGACAACTAATAGAATAGGTGAACAGTACAACAAAGAGGCAATTGATGCATAGACTTTGTGAGAATAATAAATTGGCAGAGGGTGTGGGTGTGGGGTGTCGATGTGCGTGTGAGTGTGGGTGTGGGGTGTCGGGTGTGTGTAACGAAAAATATACATATATATATCTATATATAGTTTCGTTAATGACAAGTGGAGAGGCACATATAATGTCTTTGATCCCATTGTGGGCATGATGTTTATTCGACTGTGCACTACATCCAAATGTCACAATCTAATACACAACACGAGCTTATATATGAGAGGGATGGAAGAGAGGAGGGAGAATAGATGGTACAATACAAAATGGAGAAGGAAAAGAGGAAAGATATAACAGAATATTCCACATTACAAGGTTAGTCAATAGTTGCTGTTGAAAGGACGTCCATCTTCTTACTGTAGATACCCAACCGAACTAAATCTATGGTCAACAATAGCAACAGGTTAATTGGGATCAATGCCAAAAGCATGTTTCTTAAATAGAATAAGTATTCGTCTATCCAATTTGATCTATACATGACTCAGCTCGTTTAAAGAATCATGTTGACAAATAAATATCAGACAAAAATGCCGTCTAATTTAATCTTGTGATAAACATGTAAATGACTAAATCCTCTCATATTATCGCTCTACTTATCTGAATTTTACTAAAAGAGATAGGATTGGGTGTTTTTGTAGAAAGGATAATTATTTGAGCAAGCAAGATACTTGATATTCGAATCCGAGTCTATGGTTGCTATTTATTCTGGCAAGAATGTATCTATCATCTACACTTTATTGAAACCAACGATGAATTCCACTCGATCAATAACCAATAATTCGTGCAATTTAACCTTTGTAAGCCATTTTTTTTCCAGAAAGATGTCAATTTTTGTTCAAAATAGCAGTTTATATATCATAAATAACATTTTACATAATACTGTGATAATTTCTAGTTCTCTATCCGTTTAATTAAGTAAATCACCGTATTGGTTATCGACCTTCTAGTAATCGTTATTAGCTGATACATTGTTTGTCAGTAATCAATCTAGTCGTGAAACAAACGAATGCAATGGAAAACTTATGGTGAAAATCGAGAGATTTTGTCTAATTCAGATGTCTTCACAATAAAGGTTATTAGATGTATTGAAAATCGATCTTTATCGTTTATTTTAGTATTTTTATTGATTTTACCATTCGAGCGATTCTTAGTTTAAATCAATGGAATGATGACGATAAATCTATGATATAACTCTTACAGATGATTTTCAGCACACTCACAATAATACAAAACTGTGATTTTGATAGAAATTTGCCATTGTCTTGTGAGTTAAAAAAAAAAGCATCATCCATCAGTATATAGCTCTTTTCCAACTAGAGGAATGTGATTATCAATCGATTTTTTAGCTATCTTTGATATGTGAGTGATTCCTATAGTTGAGTACTCTCTTAAAACAGTAGATATCACAATGAACTTTAACTATAGTATTCATTGTTAGCAGAATCGAAGATAACTACTAAACTCTAAAATAAGTGAAGTTGGACCGAAGAAAATCAACTGTAGGTGATTGCATTTCTAATCGGTAGAGTCCATGATTAAATCTTTAAAAAATTTTTGGTTCAGTTCAACTGAAGCACGAAATGAAAAATCCATGAATGTGTATGAATGGTCTATCGAATAAAAAGTTTTCGAAGACACTTTTATCTTTAGATTTGAGAACAAAGCTATTTATCATACTTAGGGCAATCGAAAAGTAGTGACAGTAGCACTTCTATTCGTTATAAGAAGCTTAGAGAAACTTTCTCTTTACATAGTCTGATCGAAGAAAGAATGCTCCATTTTTCTATACTATTTGATCATTCTTCAACTAATATCATAATAATAAAATTTCGATAAGATCTGTTTTGTTCGCATTTGTCACGGGTTATAATAATGCTCATTTTAAAAAATATGAATGAATATTTTTCAAATAACTTTTGATAAAAACAAGATAGAGAACTGTGGTTTTCACCATTCGAAAAAGGAGATGAAGTTGCATCGAATCATATATTCCAAGGTTTCCTGATCTGTTTTTTTTTGCCAGGTTTTCAATCGACCTTCTTAAGAATAAACCTATCTAGTAAGTTGTTTACAGTTACAGTGAATTTTCAAGTGTCAGCTATAAATTCAAACCACTAATCGAAGATCTACAAAGTGCGGAACGTTCAAATGAATAATATGAATTGTAGTCGAGCCTCTAATACGATTTTCTAGCAAAGTTCGTAAAACAAAGCTCACTTTTTGTGCTTTTTCTTTTTTTCATAAAAAAAATACATTTTTGTGACAGTTAGAATTATTGAATCAAAATACTTAGGGTGTACCAAAAGTTCGGATCACGATGTTTAAAGGACCTTGTTGGATAAAGTGACCTATTTAGAAATAACCGTTTTGTAGAACTTTTCGAGACGCACCGAATGGTATATAGTAAATTCTGTTTTCATAAGACTTTGAAGGAATTAAACTCAATTTACTGATAGACGACAACATAGCTACACCCATCGATACCCGCGTCCTTACCTCAAGCATGATAAGTTAATGAATATTGTGGTCCTTGCTATTAATCAAAAGTATTTGTAAAATATGTTTTCTCACATACAATTCTGTAGAGTTTTTGACTGACTACAAGCTGATATACGTAGCTTTTTCGGTCATCTTGTAAATGTGGATGTGAGTGGGTGTAGGTATGGATGCGTATAGCAATGTAATCGTCTATCAGTAAATTGAGTTTAATTCCTTCAAAGTCTTTTGAAAACAGAATTTACTATATACCATTCGATGCGCCCTGAAAAGCTCTACAAAATGGTATATTTAGTTTCTCATTTCTAAATAAGTCACCTCATCCAACAAGGTCCTTTGAACGCCATGATCCGAACTTTTGGTACATCCTAAGTATATTAGATTTTCTGATAGATCTAGGACCTTAAAATATTCCAGAGATATTTTCAAAACTAGTTCTCCTCCTTCCTTAGCACCCATTAGTCACACAATGCACCATCCGATTTCAATCTGAGTTGAGACGACAGAACATGTTCGATTTTAAATAGAAATGTTGAAATAGAAAGTCTGTAGACTTATTCATGTATATGTATACTAATGTTTAACGACCGAAACTTAGTAGACATATCGTCATGTAAATAGAGAGAATGAGGAATCTGCATGTGTATGTGTCATAATGACTTACTGAAAACATCTCAGCAGATAAACAAAGATGCCATTGAACTTATTTCACTGATGATGTCAAACTGCATTGTTGACAAAAAAAATGAGTGTGACTTGTTTTCCGAAGTTTAACCTGAAATGAAAAACTCTATAAACTTTTCATAATACATTTTGGTTCATATCTGAGGAATAATTTTGCAGTGAAATACTGCGCGTCCCATTTCTGGAATCAGAAAAAATAAGCTTCATTCTTTGTACACACTTTATCAAATTATTGTAAGTTCTTCGATCTCAAAACTATACTCTTATGGTGAGATCATGTATTATTGATAAATTTTATTATGACAGCGAGTGGTCCAATATATGAAAGATCGTTAGAAATTTAAAAAAATTCAAAAACGAAGGCTAGAATATAAGAAACAATGGATATGTAGAAGATAAAGAATTACATTCATCTTTATATCTTTTTTCATATTCAAAATAAGTTTTACTTAAAAATGAAACAATACTAATGTTTGTATAAGGCAAATACAAGAAGTTTTCCTTGAAAACAACAAAAAACTGAAGAGTTCTCTAAAACAATCTACAGTTTAAGTTGATAAAACGATTTTCATATCTTGATTGATCTAGATAAGTGACACACTTTAGATTTTATACATATGCGTTTTTGAACAAGAATTTCCTGTAAAGCACATTAGCAAATAGGTGATATATAAGATCACTCATATTTCACGTGTGAAAACGAGTAGGATGTTTAACGATGAACGATTAAATAACTTTCGTTATAAATAAAAATATGTAATAAAACACGTTAAAATATTTAATGCATGAAGATGAATGTTGTATTTAATGATGAATAACGAAGTAATCTTCGTTGAAAGTCAACTCGTGCATGAATATTTGTTTAAAAGTTTATGCACATTAACGATTACTCAAAGTTTAACGACATATAATCATTTTTTTTTTGTCATGAAACTCTGCTAAAATACCATTTAACACAAGTTTTACCGTCCATTTTAGTGAATTATGTTTTCATTGTAAACGTTCTCTATGTCGTCTGATAACATATGAATCAAGTGAAAATTGAAGAACACAATGATCTTGTCTCATCAGAAAAGGTGTGGCTCACACAAATCTTCCCAGGAAGTTAAGATTTGTTTTTTTCAAATGAGAATCTGAAATGAGTAAGAATAAGAATATCGTTTAGTGAAGTATTTCTTGAAGGTTATTCATAAGATGTCGCTGGAACATCAGTTGATTATCTTTTATAATAGAAAAAAAAAAGATTCTATTGTAAATCTCAACAACATAAATGTGTACTATTGTAAAAAACAATGTTATGTATTGAATTGATAATATAATTTGTAAAATATTATTGTTAATCTGCATTTTTTTTTATATAGAATTCAGTTGGTTTGATTGTTCTATAGAAAACAAAATTAACACATTTTCATTGAGACATAATCGACTTGCATTTTTTATTCGATGAAAGAACGATCTCAATAATAAAAGTTTTTATATTGAGATGTCAATATCCGCAGTTTTCATTTCTCAGATTATATTGCCCTAAGCAATATTTTTTTTTGTATTTATTTATTGAACAAA